ATGATGTTGAAGAGGCCACAACCACTCCCTTATGGAGATATGTTACAGGCGTGGGTGAGAAACCAAGAAAAGGTGGCAGAGGGGCTAGGAAGTGGACCTGCAATTTCAATTGCAGAGAAACTCCATATACTGGCTCGTATAATCGTCTGCGAGCTCTTTTATTGGGCATGCTCCCGGGGCAGGCGTCCTAGGGAGGCAGACGTCTCAGGGAATTGCTAAGTGTTTTAAAGTGTCAAAGGAAGAAAGGGAGGCTTTGAAGCAAGAATAGGAAGAGATGAAGTTAGGTTGTATGAGAAGGCAAAGAAGCAAAAAACCTCCATTCTCTCCTGATACCGCTTTATTCTTCACAAACCAAGATCCACGGAAAAGGGAAAAATTTCTCATATGTTTAATGCACAAGAGAGATAAGAAGTTGATGCTGCAGTAGCACGCTTTTTCTATGCTCATGGCATCTCATTCAACGTCGCCAATGGCCTTAGATTTCATGAAATGGTCTATGCTATAAATAATGGGCCAAAAGCCTACATGCCTCCTAAATATGCTAAGATTAGGACATCTTTGTTGGATATGGAGAGGAGCAGAATCGAGAGGGCACTGACTCCTTAAGGAATGATAGGACGACTTGTGGAGTTTCAATTGTATCAGATGGATGGAGCAACGTTAAAAATGAGTCTTTGATTAATGTTTGAGCAGTTTCTGGGGGGGAGGGAAAGGCAATGTTCCTCAATGGAAATGATTGCTCTTCTATTGAGAAGACTAGTCAAAACATCGTTGCTATTCTTTTGCAGGCGATGGACACTATTGGATCCTACCATGTAGTTTAAGTGTTTATCGAAAATGCTGCAAATTGCAAAGTGCAGGGACAATTATCGAATGTCGCCATCCCCACATTTTTTGGTTTGGTTGCTTAGCACACATTATGAGCCTCATGAAATACATCGTTGATAAAAATAAGACGAACCCAACTTTTAGTTTTGTACGGAATATATTCGCAATCACATTAGGTATCCATATATGTTTAGGACTTTTTCAAATCTTGTAGTCCTTATGGGGTAGAATACTAGATTTGGGTTCCATTACATAATGTTGAGGCGTCTTATGGAAGTGAGGGTTGTTTTGACATCCTTGGTTTTAAGTGAAGAGTGGGAGGGTCTCAGACTGGCAGTAAGAGGTATTGATCATACCGAGGTGTGCCATATAATTATGGATGATAATTTTTGGTCAACGAACAAAAAAATATTGCAATTTACCAGGCCAATATGGAAGATGATGAAATTCGCGAACGTCGACATGGCTGAAATAGGGGATGCATACGAGCGCATGGAGACAATGTTGGGTGAAATTGCAGTGGCCCTTTATGATGATCCTATTTCTTACCAAAAAGTGCATAAGTTAGTTTTTGGTAGATGGGATCGAACCAATCTTCCATTGCATTGTTTGGCATATGTTTTAAGTCCCAAGTATCATTCTCGGGAATGGTTAACTATGCCAACTCTTGGTGGGAAGAAGAGGCTAAAGCCGCACCACGATAAAGAAGTATCAGCGTTTTATCTTGTTGCGGTTGAGAGGTTGTACCCAGACGAGAATGAGAGGGGTAGAATACGACAACATATCAATGATTTTGTAAGTGATAAAGGAGTTTTTTTCACTCCCAGCATCTATTTCTGATAGAAGAACAATGTCAGCTGTTTCGTGGTAGGATTTATATGGTGGTGGGGTTCCTGAATTGTACTCATTGGCTGTTAAGGTGTTGTCCTAGAGTGTCAACTCGTCATGTGTTGAGAGGTGCTAGAGTACATATAGTTATATTCACAGTGTTAAGCGGAATAGGTTAAATGCTAAACGCTCAGAGTCATTGGTTTATGTCCACTACAATGATAGGTTGTCAAGTAGATTTTGATCGGACTATGCAGAGAAGTACAAAGGTTGGGATTTTCATCCTGATGATGACCACCTTGGGGATGATGTTGGGGCATTAGAAGCATTAAGCGACTGCCTTGATGCAGATGATGACGCTCGTCAGAGTGCTCTATTACCAAGGCCTGTATGTCCCACTATATTTTCAAACCATGACACGAGTTTGGCTTGCACTAGTCCCACCGAGTCCCCGGCAACCCAGAATCATATTCCTCCCACTCAGGGGTCATTTTCTTCAATTGTAAATTCCTCTGCTTCCGTTGTTTCGCAAAGGCTGGCTCTCCGAAGAGGCAAAAGGACAAGATTAACTTCTCTCTCTCTTTGATGTAAAAGAGCTGAAGAACGGACCTCTCTCTCTCTCATGTAAAAGAGCTTTTTATAGCTTGAAATCAAAGCATATATTCCCATCTCACAACTAAGAGTATTCATGATTGTGAGTTATCTTAGAACTCTACAAGAAAAGGACTTCAAAATGAAACATATATTCTCACAAGAAAAACGGTGGCTTACAACTAAGTTTTTTTTTTTGAAATAATGGGGTCACTTTATTCTACATTATACCTAGTTCAAATCAAGAATCTAATAAAATAATAGGTCAATATAGATAAATTAAGAATAGTGGACTGGATTTTATACTAATTAAGAATAATGGTGGAATTTCAATTTTTAACATCATAGAACTTGTGATTCCTAATTTATGTATAATAACCTTGGACCATGGTTGATGGGTTTGGGGATCTATTTTCAAATGGAATTGGATTCATCGGTTTTTTTATAGTAGATTCCACATACATGGACTGGATTTTTTACAAATTAAGAATAATGGTGGAATTTAAATTTTTAACATCATGGAATTTAGGATTCCTAATTAATGTATCAAAACCTTGGACCATGGTTGATGGTTTCAAGGATCTATTTTCAAATGGAACTGGATTCGTCGATTTTTTGAAAGCAGATTCCACATTTATGGACGGGATTTTTTACAAATTAGGAATATTGGTGGAATTTAAATTTTTAACATCATAGAACTTATGATTCTTAATTAATGTATCAAAATCTTGGACCATGGTTGATGGGTTCGAGGGTCTATTTTCAAATGGAACTGGATTCGTCGGTTTTTTAATAGTAGATTGCACATATATGGATCTCAATATTAGACATTATCAAAACCTTGGACTATAGTTGATTAGAGCGGGGGTCTATTTCGCGATAGTACTAAAATCTTCTAATGGTTAGAACGTGATCCCCGTTATTTGAGAGCAATATAACAAATTTTTAGGAATGCGATACCAAAATTTTGGGAGCGAGATCCTGAGATTTTGGAAGTGAGGTTCCAAAAAAGAAAATTCGGGCTTCCCAACGAGATCCCTAGGAAAAACTGTGGGATTGAGGTTCCGGAGCGGGAATGGGACCCTCCACCCACGGTTCCCTTAACTATGAGCGCACCCCTCATGGTTGTTCCAAAAGAATATCTTTGGTTTCCGATTTCTGTCATTTCTTCCAAATATGATATATATGCACTGGCTTCATCTGTGAGTTTGAGCATATGTGTGGACTTCCCTTAACATAGTTCTTGTTTCATAATTACTTCTGTTTCTAGGTCTTTTATTCCCCGTGTGTGTTTGTTCGTCTGTGTGTGTGAGCATTCACGTGTGGTGTGTGTGTGTGTTCTCCTTGCATGTATGACTATCTTATGAGCTTAGAATAGTTTGCATGCAAAAATTCTGCCCTTAATTGTATCTTATATTTATGCCATACAAAGTCATTCATGTCAGTCACATTTTGCTACGCTTAATGTCAACCTTTCCCCAACTTTACATGACCCAAAAACATTGGGTGCAGTTATGTACATGGTGTGCAAGAGCTTCTGCAGCATTAACAGCAAAATCTCACAAAGAAGATAGGTTTGGAGTGGCCCAACTCACTGGCTCCAACATGGCTGGTATGTCCACACTTATTTCATGTTTGCTCGCAGTTGAGGCCTGTCTTGGAAAGCGAACTCATGCGAGCCCTGCTCACCTAATGGGGCCCACTAGCATTAGGTGGGCCATGCCTCCGAGAGTTGAAGAACAGGTCAAGAGGAAGCGGAGAGGGAGAGAGGCCACTTCCATTCACAGAAAAGCATATGTTATGGCTGATGTCCTTAGGACTTCAATCTATGAGATTGTCTCCGAATTCTTTGAAGAGATGCAAGCAGGACAGAAGGCATCGGTTTTAGAGAGAGATTGGATTAGTGGGAGCAAGCCATTGTATGGGACCCGAGAGGTTCTTGTTCAAAAGCTAAGCCTCTTTCTGGACTTTCGTGCTTAGCTAGCTGCTGGATGGCTTTACCTGTTTGTGTTTGTGTTTTACTAGTGATTCAATTGGAAGGTTCAGAGGTGCAATATATCAAGAAAAGAAAAATGGAAAAATGGTTTGGAGGTGCATCTGATCATTTGCTGCTACGGAAGCCATCTAGGGTCCATGCGCAAAAGAGGGAGGCAGTTGCTGGAGGAAGAGTTTCTGTGAGGGGTTCATTACAGTTGAAACATAGACCCCCGTTTTGTTTGATTTCCTTTTTCAGATGTTTCAAGGGTTTTTTAATGAAGCTCTCAAGAGGATGAGACCCTGATTTCTTGCGAGTCTCTCTCGCTCTCTTTTTCATTCTCTCTCTCTCTCTCTCATCACAGTGAGAAATAGACTTTGGTGGGATAATGTCCGGCTCTTTTATGAAATGTAATTTAAGATCAATCTCATGTTTATCTCTTTTTTGATGTTGGAACAGCAAGAAACAGCACAATAAATTTTGTTTTGAGAATTACGTTGTGGTGAGTTGCCTAGTTATAGTGCTTATTTCCAGCAGAAATGATTGAATCAATTTATTGTCGTCGTTTTTATTTAGAGTGGGTAATCTTTTGGGTAAATGAGTAAATAGAAGTTATATCACGCATCTTACAAATGAAAATCTCAAAATTTCGAAGTAATTAACTTGATCAAACACAAACCATTTAACTCACCTCTGAAACTGGTTTGAACCCGGTGATAACCAATAATTGGACATTTGGACCTGAGTTTGAAGCACATTTCAAAAATCGCTAATTTGGTTTGGAATTGCTTGGTCCAGAGGGAATCGGCAGGTAACCAATTGATTCCCTTATGTAATTGGCAATCAGCCTGATATGAGCAAAATCACCGAGTTCAGTTGGTGAATCTGGTGATTTGATAGTTGGTGATTCCCTTGTTCTATTCATTCATTCATTTCTTTATTTGTGTGTTGTTGTTTTGTCCGAGAAAAGGCCCAATCTGTCATTTATTATTCTCTCTTG